GGAAAAAAAAAAAAAAAAAAAAAAAAAAAAAAAAAAAAAAAAATGTGAAGGTGTTTGTGTCCCATGTCAATGCCCACAAAAGGGTGACCTCAGCCCTTTAATAATCAAGGATATTAATATTCAAGTGGATAGGATGACCTGTTCTATGGATACCAGTCAGCCTCAAATCTAGTCATCCCTGTCATTGCCCAGTGGACTCATGAACAAAGTGGCCATAATGCCAGGGATGGACGTTATGCCTGGGATCAGCAACATGGAATTCCACTCACCAAGGCCAAGCTGGCTACAGCCACCACTGAGTGCCCAACCTGCCAGCAGCAGAGACCAACACCGAGCCCCTGATATGGCCCCATTCCCCAGGGTAATCAGCTACCTGGTGGCAGGTTGGTTACACTGGACCACTTCCATCATGGAAGAAGCAGAGTTTTGTTCTTACTGAGATAGATACACTTTGGACACAAATTTGCCTTCCCTGCACGCAAAACTTCTTCCAGAATCACTATCCATGAACTTAAGAAGCCTAATCCACTGGTATTTCATGCAACATTACTTCTAATCAAGGAAATCACTTCACAGCAAAGGAAGTGTGGCAATGGACTCACGCTGATGGAATTCACTGGTCCTACAAGTTCCCCAGCACCCTGAGGCAGCTGGCTTGATAGAATGGTGGCATGCCCTTTTGAAGACTTAGTTTTAGCACTACTAGGTGGCGATACCTTGCAGGACTGGGGCAAATTTCTTCTGAAGCCTGTACCTGCTCCAAATCAGCATCCCAATAAATGACACTCTTTCTCCCATAGTCATGACTCATGGGACCAGAAATGAAAAGGTGAGAATGGAAGCAGCACCATTCACTATTAACCCTTGAGACCCACTGGCAAAATATTTGCTTCCTGTTCTCATGATCTTATGCCCTGCTGGCCTAGAGATCTTAGTTCCAGAGGAAGGAATGCTTCTACCAGGAGACACAATGATTCCATTGAACTAGAAGTGAAGAATGTCACCTGGCCACTTTGGGCTCCTCATGCCTCTGAATCAACAGGCAAGGAAGGGAATTACCATGCTGGCTGGGGTGATTAATTTAGACTACCAAGGGGAAATTGGACTACTCCTCCGAAATGAAGGTCTTGAGTAAAGAGAACTTCAGAACTCGGCTGACAATGGTAGTGAGC